AATTAATAAATTTGTTGGCAATTTATTAAAATATTATATTTTATTCGAATTATACATTTATGATGCATCTATACTTGTAAATTTTTCTAATCAATTTCATTAACCCTCTTTATCATTAACTAAAATAATATTTGTATAATGCAGTAAAATACATCTTTATTTTTAATTTTTTTTTGTTTCCATTGACATAATAAGGTTTATGTGGTTTTTAGAAAGACAATGTTTTTATTTTTGAATAAAAATAAATTTGAATATATCATAAAAATTTGAAAAAATATATTAATATTAATATTAAATTAACTATTTAAAATTTCTCATTTTTTATACAATTTCTTTAATTCCATTTTTATTATAATTTAATTTAATTTTAATAGCAAAATAATTTATTTTAAAATGATATGTTTATCATGTATTTGATTATTTTTATCTGCAGTTAGTTATACGAATTCAAAAATAGAGTTTTAATAAGTTGTATTTACACACAGTTTACTTGTTATCCATAAATTTTAAGTAATATGTATTTATAAACAGTACTTCATGCATAAATAATGGTTTTTATGAGTTTTTGTCATATGCTTTATAATATAGTATATATTATTATTATATTATAAAAAATTATTTATATTTTAAAAAAACAATATTAATATATTAACTTTTATCTAAAGAGAATAATATTTCTTAAAATCTAGATTAATTAATTTTGCTATTATTATGTATTATTATATTATATTATATTAGAATACTATATTGTATTGTATATTTGTATTATTAATAAATACTAGAATGGTACTCCCACAATGGAGTGAGATACATCTCAATTTAATATTTGTTTTATTCTTTGTCTTTATCGATGTTATAATATAATACAATTTTATGTGGTTTTGAGAAAACGATAATGCTTTTATGTTTGAACTAGGGGCGTTCGCGGTCTGGTTTGAGCGGTTAACCCCTCAGATCACAGACCAAACCGTAATGACGGTTTATAAAATTTTCAAACTGAACGATTTAACATTAAGTGACCAGACTGGTCAAACCAGACCACGAAAAAGCGGTCTGGTTTGACCGGTTTAGGCGGTTTGGGATTTTAATGGACTTTAAATATTAAACTTAAAAAACATATATAATTTAGAATTTTAGATTAAATATCCATTTTAACAGAACAAAATATCCAAACAAATAAATGTAATAATTAAGCAGCTCTTAAGTCTAAAATCCAAGCAATCCAAAGTCCAAACAAATAAATATATAATACATATTTGAAAACAAACATATTAACAAAGTTACAATTCCACTGTGTGTATTAAGTAACAAAATCCACGACTTCACAACTTTCAATTCTTGAGTCTTGAGTTATTGACCAAACAAAATAGAAGCCAATATTAGTTGGTTGAATCACTTGGTTGATGTCTTGATGATGTGCGCCAAAATCAAACCATGAATTAGGAAAGATCGATAGATTGATAGAGTTCTTGAGGGATTTCAAAATGTGGAGACCGTCATTGTCAAATGTGTTGATATGTTTACTGGTTTAGGGATTTTTAGGCGCCAATTCATTTGGATTTGATTATGTTAGATGTTAGGTTTTATGTGGGGCTTAGGGATATATTTGGGTCATAGCCCATAAGTTAAAAAAGTTGGATTTGCTAATACTAAAATAAGTAAATAAATAAATATGTATGTATGTACGTATGTATGTATGTACGTACGTATGTATGTACGTACGTATGTACGTATGTATGTACGTACGTACGTATGTATGTATGTTAGGACTGAGAAATCAGTATTAATTGTATTCGTCTTGAAAGTTTATAAATAGTCTATAATTGTAAAAAGTCAGCGTGTTTGACTTTTCTTATAGGTTTGACTTTGACATTGTCTTTATTAGGTTGACCATATAAATAGGTAGTATTCTTTGTAATTGTAAAAAGAAGAGCTCATTTGTAAAAACTATACGTAATAAGAAAGGTTGACCAGTTGACTTTCTCTCTCATCTTCATATGAATGTTCATACATGATAAATCCAGAATCTGAAGATATTATGAAGATTGATCAGTGATTGTGGACACACAATTGGTATCAAAGCAGGATGCAAGAAATCAGAGATCAAAGAAAGATAAGTAAAATTTTTTTTCTAAATTTTTTTGGTGTTTTTTGTGTTCTTGATTTTTTCTTTGTTTTTGATCCGAATTTTTCATAAAATTCTTGTGTTTTTGTGTTAAAAACAGGATCAAAATGCTCGAAATTACATTGTGAATCTTTGTTATTCACAAAGTTTTATGATTTGATCACTGAATTTCAAGAATTATTCGGTTTTTTGTGTTTTTAAATTTTTTCGTGTTCTTAATTTTTTTTAAAATGTCAGTGTTTTTGATCCAATTTTTGTTAAATTTCTTTTAGTTTTTGTGTTTTTGTTAGTTTTGATCTGTTTTTAAATTTTTTTGGTTGTTTTTTTTTGTTAAACCATCCAAATTTATCCGGTTTAATCCCTTAATTTTTTTTTGGGCTTAAGTCCATTTTTGGCCCACATAATGTTGACCGGATAAAGAGTCCGGCTAAGGTTTCTTCATCGCTCTCAATCTCTCTTCAATCAAACCGCACACAAATTGAACGGTTTCAAGATAAACCGAAGGTGTCTTGATCGGATTGTTCTCCRGTTAGTTTTCATAGCTTCAAATTCAAGTCTAATCCTCATAAAGCTTAATCGGATTCCTTGAACGGAGAGGTACACCGGACGATTTCAGGTAAGTCAATCTCAAGTTTAGGTTTATTTTTTGAGCGGTATTCATCCTACACCGGACATGCTTTGATCGGTATTCATCTAAACCGGTCACCACTTGACCGGATTAGGGCTCTGATTCATTCAGCAGGTAAGCCATCCCAAGCGGTTTAGGACTTGTTCATCTAAGAAGTTTGAGCGGACTTCTAATCCGTTTGATTCCATTTACCCAGATTCGTATATCACTCTGTTTTTTATTCAATTTGGGTGTATATTGTTTCTTGATTCGATTTGATTCAACATAATTGTCACTTGAATTCATGCTGTCCGGTTTAGAATGTTCATTCATGCTGTTCGGTTTAAGCTTCTAATATTGACAGGTTTAATGTTTTAGTTGTAACCGGTTTACATTCAACCTTGACAGGTTCTATGTGCGTGTTGTTGTGATTGGATCTAGACAGGTTATTTGCAGGTTTGTTCATAGCTGTTTTGAGCTATTACAATCTGTTTTGAATTCCATATAGTTGTGTGTAGGTGACTGTGTGCATACACATGTTCTGTGTGGTTGTGTTTAAGATTTGAAGAAGAAACAATAGCTTCTATTAGCTACTATTAGCTACACAGGTTCTGAGTTTTGTAAAACAGCAGCCCAGGTTAGTGTGTTCACAGAAGGATTTGGAGTGTTTTACATGACTGTTTAGAGATTGTTTTTGCTGTTTGAATTGCTGTTTGATTGAAACTGTTTGATTTGAGTGTAAAACAACACCTTGTTTGATTGAAACTGTTTGTTTTTGCTGTTATAAGTCTAACACAGCTTGCTTGACAGATTTGAACATATCAAGCTGACAGTTTACATTTTGAGTATCAAGCTGTGATCTTGTTGTTATAAATGGTCAAAAGCAGCTCTGTTCATCATTGTTGAAACTGTGTTGAAGCTGCATTTTTTTTTAAGTTTTGTTGATCTTGACAGCAGGTTAAATTCTATTGACAGCAGGTTGTGTTTGCAATAACAGGTTTTGTTATTTTGACAGCAGGTCTTGACAGCAGGTTGTGCTTACTGTTTTTAATTAAAATTTTGTACTTCTTGTTTGCTGTTTTGAGCTGTTTAGTGCAGTAAGTGAACTGATTTGATACAGATTTGATGCAACAGTTTCTGTCTTGAGCAGCAGACTTATTCTGGAATCACAGAAACACAAAGACAGTTGAATTGATTGTTTGCTGTTTTTGAACTTGATTGTTTTGTCCATTGTAAAATAGTCTTGAAGATGTATATTCACATTGTTGAAGCATTAGTTGATTTGATAGGAGGATAAAGTGTCTGCTGAATTTTGCTAAAACAGGTTCATTGTTCATAGTTGCTAACATCTGTGAAAGCATTATTTGCAGGTTTTGTAAACTGTTTTTTAACAGTTTTGAAGCTACACAGCAACACAGTTTGTGATTTAAGTGTTGTCTGATCTAAGAACACAACAAGAATTGAAACAGCAGCTATTGTTCAACAGCAGCAACAACAAAACAGCTAGTATTTCCAGCAGCTACAGCATTGCATCCTTTGTTTTGTTTAACAGCAGCAACAAGAAAATTTGTGCTGTACCTGTGCTGTGCTGTGCTGGTGTGGAGAAGAAAGAAGCAGCAGCAACAACTTTTTGTTTCTGTTTTGATTTGAAACAGCAAGCTTTACAGTTGATTGTTCTTGCTGTTAGAGGTTGTGTAAACGGTCTAAAACAGCAGCCCAGGTGACAGATTCGTTGTTTCTGGTTTGGTAACAGCATGATCTTACACAGTTTTGATTGCTGGTTTGAGTTTGAGGTTTAAGCAGCAGCAGTTTTTGAGTTTCATACAAAGGCTGTGAATTCACCAAATCAATTTAGAGTACTGTTTTAAAGTCTGAAACAGAAGTAGGTTTGATAGTCAATATTGGTTACATTTTAGCTAAACAGGTACATTGTTTTAATCTTGTGCATTATCTGTGCTTGTGAACGGACTGGAACAGGCTTGGCTATTTTGTTCAAGCTAGCAGCCTAACTGTGTTATTGATTTGATTGTTCAACTGTTTTTGTGTCAGGTAAATCAAAGTACACTTTGGAAGATTTTCAGGCATA